TTCAAAAGGCAATCCATCCTCATAAACCTCTATCTTGAGTGAGGATGGGCCCAGACATCTCATCCACAGAACTTGCCTGTGGCTAGATGCCTAAGGTTTCTAGCAGGCATTGGATCAATTGAAACTGAAATTTTAAGCCAAAACCCAACACCAGATCTTCTACATATCAGGTCTAGCCACTCACTCCAACATCCCAAATAAAGAGGCAATAATGATAAGGCAGAGAAAAGAGGTTTATTATTATTATGCAGCATGGTCACAACAAGGGAAAAGGCAAAGGAAGCATTTCAGCCATCATTAGGGTACAGATATGAGCTTAAGATTTAAATAGAGAAAGAACTGGGGCAAGTAAAGAGAAGTATACACATACAAACAGTCCCACTCACACTGTGGCCTAGTTGACCATTATCTCAGTATTGATTCTATGAGGAGTTCCAGAAAAGTTATCACTGTCATCTTTTCAATGGAGCAATCTGGTTCTCATGATTGCTCCTGTTCCAACATGTAGAACTCATAGGCAATATTATCATTGAGGGAATCTATACTGTGAAGCTCTGCTGATCATTTCCCTGGGGAGTAGTTTGGGCTCTTATCTTAAAGACGTCCATCAATCTCATCCTTCTTGGATTCCAAGCTGACTGCAAGGTGGCTGTAGAGAAAATGGTTCAGAGCAAAGAACACAGATACAAAATGGAGACAAAGATGCCGAGCTTTGCTCTTGCTTTTAGTTAATTCATAGTCCCAACTAAGAAATCAGTGCTTTTTAGCAAAAGTAATTTCTACCTCTTAGAAGACCAGCCCAAAGCTTTTAAGCATTGACTGTGTGTGTCCTCCTCTCTGATCTTCATACATTTGGATAATGACTCTCCTGTTTTGCTCCTTGGAATTGAAGATCAAATAAGATAGTATAAGCAATCCGGTGGTCACCAATGCCACAATGCTAGATTGCACTTGGACCCTACCACAGTCTACTAAGATCAATAAAGGACAGGTGTAGTTCTATGATGATTTTTGTCTTCTGCTGTAGTATACTCATGGCCTTACACTACTGCAACTAGCAACAGGTGATGTGACATCAGAGAATGTCAAGAGACTCTACCCACCACTATCAGCCTGAGCACAGAGGACTGGGGACTTTGGGATCCACTGTATGTTATTTTTTTCCAAGGCAAAGTCCTGGTTTACTTCCCTCTTCTATCCCACAAGAAATGGTATCTTCTTCCATATTGGGATGCCTGCATTTTCTTTAGTGACTATAATTTTGAGCTCCAGAATTTGTGTTTTATACATTTGTATAATTTTGCATCTGTACTTATATTCACTATTTTAGGAGATATCCTCCTATTTTCTTTTTGTTCTTTATTTCTTTACCTTTTTGAACATATTTAAGTCAGTTGATTTAAAGTCTTTGCCAAGTAGGTGCAAAGAATTACTTCACTGAAGAGTTCCTATTTTTTGAGAATGGGCCGTGCCTTTTTACACCTATGATTTTTGTTTTTTATGGAAAACTGGATATACTAAAATTATACTGTGGTAATTCTGGAAATCAGATTCTTCCTAATAATTTCTTTTTGTTGATGGCTACTATTGTAATTGTTTGTTAAGGGGTTTTTCTATTTATTTTGGTAAAAACTATATTGTCAGATGTATTCTCTGAGTTTCTGTCCCTTTAACTTAGGCTCAGATCATATGTTATTACAGATTCCTTTTGCAAGTGTGCTGAATAGCAAATGAATCTCTCTGGCTTCCTATCTTTCCATGTTATTGCTTTTGCATATGCTTAAACCACACCTCTTGTTTTGTCTCCTAAGCATACTTCTTTATTCTTCTCACAGACAAGCTGATAATTTTCCACATCTTTACTTTGTGTTTTCCTTTTAACTATAAACTGTGTCATTAAATCACTTCTCTCTTCTTATGTTTTACTAAATTAATAAAATCCAGATAGCAAGCTGGATGCATTGATGCCCAGGAATATTTTGGAGCTGAGATCGCCCAGACTTCTGCCCAGGCTATCCTCAAACCACTATCTTCTAGATCTCAGCCTGCTGAGTAGTGAGAATTATGGGCCATCAACACCTAGCCTTAGTTTTGTTTTTAAATTCTGCCTTACATGGAATCCTAACCAATGGCATGATTCAGCCATGCTTTTTTTTGCCTCTTTATAGTAAAGATGTTATTTCTTCTACCTTCCAATTCCTTATTCTATACTTCAATATGAGGCCTCATCAGAATTCCCTTAAATATATATTCTGATCATAATACTAGAGTAATCATTAAGAAATTTCAAACATTCCCTTAAATCTTCTCTTTTCCTCATTCTTTACCAGATTTTCCCTTAAGGTTAGATTCATAGCAATATAAGCTTTCCTAACTTATGCCTGCTCCATTACCTAATTCAAAAGTAATCTCTACATTTTTAAGCTTCTGTTATAGCAAACATAAACTGATATTGCTCTGGTATCAGCTTCTGTCATAGTCCATTTTAGATTGCCATCACAGAATGCCTGGAGTTTATCTGAAAGCACAAAAGTCAAATATCAGGTTTCCAGCCTCCTCAAGCACAAAGAAGCAAAGGAGGACTAAACTTTCTCTGTTATAGCAGCACTAATCTCACTCATAAGATCAGAGATCTCATGGCCTAGTCATCTTTTAAAAGTATCACAACCATATCTGATGCCAGTGGATCCCATCTGAAATCCCAGCTACTTAGAAGGCTGAGATCTGAGGATCATAGTTCAAAGTCAGCCAAACAAGAAAAGCCTAACCCCAAATAAAAAAAAAAAAGCTGGAAATGGAGCAGTGGCTCAAGTGGTAGAGCACTAGCCTTCAGCACAAAAGCTCAGGGACAGAGCCCAGGCTCATAGTTCAAGCCCCAGGACCAGCACCAAAATTAATATTATACAAGAGTGATTAAGTTTAAACATGAGTTCTGGAGAGGACAAATAACAGATTGGATAACTAGTATATCAATCCAATAAAGGCACAATGAAAGCAAAATCAAAGGGAGA